TTCCTACTGTTGACTTTATTTTTCTTTTGAAGTGTAGGTCATTAATTTTTAAGACATCCTCTTTTTTCACATTCAAAACAAACAACTTTTCTTTTTGGTGATTCCTTTTGACTTATTTTTTTTGTCCTTTTCTTCCTTAAGATCTTTTAATTTTTTTGATTAAAACATCTTCTTCATCACTATTGGATTGAGATCTATCCTCTATATTTCTATCAAGGTTTTTACTCTAGATTTTAAGACAAGACTTTTGTTTTTTTTTTTTGTTTTGAAATTTCATGCTTTTCTAACCTTTCAAGTTTTATCTTATATGTTCTTGAAGTTTACCAAGCAATGCATCCATAGATATTTTGAGTGTTTTTTTCTTTCCTACCCTACATATGCTAGCATTGTTTTGAGAGTAACACTTAAATAACTTTATGAATAAACTTTTGAGAACCAACTTGATTAGAAAAGAAAGTAACTTTCAAAGCAAGAACATTTAGGAAATAAACTCTATTGAAAGAAAGAAATATGGTAATGATTTCATTGTATACGTTTTCTATTGAAAGATTCAAACACGTGTATTTGTGTTTAGAATTATTTATATCCTCTGTTGAAGGGCGGTAAACATGCTCGCCATTTATTCATTTATCTGATTGCATTTACTCAAAGAACTAGGGCTAAGTATTATCTAGATTCTTTGAGCTTGTAAAGAGATTAAATATATATTTTAGTGATTATTGTACTTTGTTTGATTATAGTGAAAAAATTTCAAGATTAAGGACCTAGACATAGCTTTAAGTTATGGACTTAATCAAGATAAACTATGTGTGTTAATCTCTTTTTCCTTACTTTTTTTTCAATCAACATTGGTGATCGACTTTAATTTCATTTGAAACAAATTAATTTTTTTTTAAATAGACAACACAAATCAAACACCGCCTTTTTTGTATTTTTATTATTCTCATTAGTATCAGTGCCCAATCTCTTATTTAAACACTTAATTGTATAAAAGTTAAAATCATTTTAGAACAACATGTACGTCTGAACATTCAAATGTAAATGATGAAGAGACCAACACTTAACTCAATCAATCCTCAATCGAGTGTTTAATGGAGAGAAATTTCAATGTCAAAAAATTAAACTATATAGATTCTTTATCTCCCAAGATTTAAACTATGGAGTTTAATGAAGAAAGGTTACTAGCATCCTAGAGATGTAGAAGGAAATGGTGTTGATCATTCACTAAATGAAATTTGACCTATAGTGACAACAATATTCTTGTTGATGAAAAGTAATACATCGTAGGTATAGCCCAAAAACCTACATCACTATTCTTATTGACCGTGGACAATAATGTGCTTATACCTTGGAATTTTGCCATCACAATATCCTATAGGGAAGGTTTTGGCGTCCATGAGACAAAGATACTATGTTATGCTTACCATAATTATCCGTTGGTATAAGCTTTAATAAAACTGATTTTTATGCCTGCTAGAGAGTTCTCCCACTACAAGTTTTTGTGGTTTTTTTTTGTTAATTACACTTATATAAATTTAATATTTTCTTTTAAAATTAAATTCTAATACATAATAAATTTATTTATGAAAAAAAAATTGAATTAGTTAAAAATTAAATATAGGCTTAAAAAATAATTAAAATAATAATGTAAGAGTACCATAGCAGAATTTTTCAAGAAAATTGGAAATAACAATATTAAGTTACAAATAAATTAAATCTCATTCAACATCAACAAAAAAAAACTAAGACTAAAAATATATTAATCCTTATAACTCAAAAGTTACAAATAATTAAATCTCATTCAATTACTTTAACAAGGCTATGATGATGCAATCAACTCAACATCAATGAAAAACTCTAGTCACCCTGCTGCACTAGCCTGGGGTCTGTTTGGATTGATTTATATAAGTTTATTTATGCTATAAATTTTATAACCCAGTTTAGAAGAGCCTATTAAAATATATAGCTTATAGTATTAATCATTAATTTTCTTAACTTATTTTTATAAATTACTAAAAATAACTTACGATAACAATTCATAGTACATATAAAAATAATTTAAATTTATTTTATCTTTTATTAGAAAAATAACTTATACAAACTTTTTCATAAATTCATATTTTGATAAGCACTTATACAAGAAGCTCTAAATAAGTTGTTTGTCCAAGGAGGCCTTTAATGTAACATCAACTCCATCATTCAAGACACCTTTAAAAACTCTAATAGACCTCCTTCTCAAATTCTATCATTGACTTTTCTGTGTGAAATAAAGCAAATTTTACGGAGGCATAAACGTCAAGGTCATTTTCAACTTGTTACACATTTGATAAAGATTTTCATTTATCAGATAAAATTTCAGACAAGTTCTTTATACGTCAAGGCTTAACTATTTCATATTAGGATACTTTTAAATTCTATATACATGTCTACCCTTATAATATTTCATATATACATCTCAAAAGTGCTCTCTCACTATAAGTCACATACAAGGATTCATATTCATCCGCTTCTCCTCTTATATTGCAAACATCATAAAACATGTTGTACGCTTATACATGAATTTCTATCCTAAAATATTTTTTCTTGAAAACTCACATTAATCATTATTATATTTTTAATTTTCATAATTGTGGCGGCTACTTTTGAAATTAATGGCCGTCTGGACAGACACTTTTTTTACATGTGGTTTTAAAAATCGCCATATATTTTATTGTCACCAGGTAAAATGGGGAGTTTGTGTAACACTGCCATAAAAATTGTCGTTCTTTGGAAGTAATGACAGTTTTTCATTATAACCGTCCTGCCTTTATTAACGTTTTTAACCATTAAAGTTTTTTTATATTATGGCGGTTTAAACCGCCACTATTTTGCATTTTTTTTGATAAATTTTATTCAATAAGTTTGTTAAAAAATTAATCATAAATCAATTGATATTTTATTAACATAAGAGAGAACATTCAATAAATAGTTCACTCACATAACCAAAAACATTTAATTAATATTTTACTCAAATATTGAAAACATTCGATTAATATTTTACTCACATAACCAAAAGAATTCAATTGATATTTTACTCCCATAACCGAATGCATGTTTTATTTTTCTCCAAATTCTGTAAAAAAAAAATAACATATTAATGATGGAGTGGCAAAATGTACTACTCATACTCAACAAATTTAGCACCAACACAAAACATCATGGATTAAACCAGAAAAATAAATAACAATAACAAATAATTAATTTGATTGTCTTGACGTCGGGGATTTAGTTCTTAGTGTTTCTTATAATCTTAATGTTTTTGTTCTACCAATTACAATTATGTGCGGTGGAAATATATGAAGCTTACATATCCAGGAATAACATGTTATGTTCTCTCTCAGTTAGAACATATACAAAAAAATTCAATAGAAACAAAGGTTAACAACCATTGGAAACACATCAATTAATGTAGCCTACAAAGCAAGGCAAGAAGATATTTTATATCATAAAGACCATTGAAGAGTTTCACATTTTAATGACTTAAACTATTACTAAAAGTTTTATACCTTCACAAGAACAAAGACTTACAAAAATATATGACTATTACAAAGTACTATTATGGCGGTTCCAATGGACATAATTCACTAAAATAAGTTTTCTAATTATGGAATAACATGATAAAAAGGTAACACTATGGACAAACCAAATAATTTATAATATAGTGTCAAAGTTGGAAAACAAAACCGTATATAGTGTCAAACAGAAATAATGTATAATATGAATTATATAATAAAATTTTGTTAATAAAGGCGGTTAAAAGTGACGTAATATACTGATTTATAGTTCATTTTATAAAATCGCCATAATAAATAGTTAATAGCGTCGGTTAGAAAAGCACCTTAATAAAACTTCCATAACCAAAAATGCCAATAAAAAACCAAATAAAAAATTGTAAATCTAACTAATCAATTTTAACAAATGCATGAGAAGATATTCAAGAAAAAGAATAAATTAAATGCTTCACCAAAGCATTTTGTATGTTGATCCAGAAACAAGAAATATATATATATAGTGCTTGGATGTTTAGACTTATCTGGCAACCCAAAACAAGAAAAACACAAATCAAAATAGCTTAAAGGGGCCTCAAAAAATAATAACATATGTTTCATTTCTCTAAGTATGTTCTCAAATCTCATAAAAATCCTAAATCAAAAAAATAAAATTATGGTAGGATAAAAAATTCCTTGAGAGATGAAATGTATATGATACATTGCATCACCACAACTATAAAGAGAGGCGAAATTGAACGGTGTGACACTTCACACAAAAGACGATGCAGGATTGACGTGCAGATTGTGATTGACACAACTATATTCACGAAGATGAGACGGAGGCACATGAATTTTGGCTGTTAGGTAAAGTAACGATGAACTAGGAAAATCCAAGACAATAGAGGTGATGTGAACTATGCTCTATACAAAATGCAATGTGAGGGAAATCGAGAGTGAGAGGATTAAGAAAGAGCGATGAAGAAATTAGGGTAAAAAAGAGAAAGAGTTGAAAGAAATAGTGAGTGAAAGTGAAAGTGAAATTGTGAGAGGAATCTCCGTGAACCAGTTTTAGAGGTACATGACGTTTGAGTAGAATCGTCTCTATCGAAGTTCGAAAGAAACTCCACAGCTTAAAATTTTAGAGCTTGTGTTTATTTTCAAGATTTGTGTTTAATTTAGAGGCGGAACATAGAGGCGTCACGGCCACCCCAAACTTTTTTTTTCATACAGATGAAAATACAAAATGAAAAACATAATGGAAATAACTAATGTAATTGGTAATAATCAAGCCTAAAAAATGAAAAACATAGTGGAAATTGTACACACTCTACTGCTATATATGAATGAGACCTCCTTGATTAAACAGTGATAGTACAAACATAAAGACAATAATTTTACATAATAATCATCACAGAGATGTTATTGGAAAGAAAAATTACACAATAGATAAGAAAACCACACATGCATTTTTTAAATAGAGACACTGTTGGGAATTCCTCTGAAAGTTAAACCTTCTTCACTTGAACGAAGCAGCAAACTATAGGGCAGCTGCACTGGCCCGTAGCGGTTTCTCAAACTAGGCTCATTGTTCCTGCTATGGATTTTCCCTTCAATTTCAGTTAGTTTTGTTCCAAATTTTGTGAAGGCTTGTACTGCTCTTGAATCAGATGTCCAATACTTGTTATCCCTCTCGCCGAGATACACCTCATCGGAAGCATGTCTTGACAATATCTCAATCACAGAAAGATCAACAAGAGTCTGATACTTTGGAGTAATTGTTCTCAAATATGCCTTTTGCGGATTTTTCACCATCTCGTCGTATTCTGGAGTTCCTTTCTCGGGGATGAATCTTCTACTAAGCGTTGGACGGTTAAGGATGTATCCTCCGTAAGGATATTGTCCGAAGTTAACAGCTGCGTGAAGAGCAGAAGCAGTCCATACGATAATGGAGCAAGATTGAACCAAGTCTTGAAGAGTTTGCATCTTAGGCCACCATGGCTTGTCTTTCAAGTCACCGTGACCCTTTTCTACAGCTTCTTTCCACCAAGTTTGTAACTCAGTGTCTTTTTGAACGGTGTCATCAGTTGGATAATATAACGAGACATACTCTTGGACCCATGATTTAATAGCATCCCAAATCTCTAATCCATCAACAGCATAAGGGTAATCCTCTATCACGAGACGAAGGCCGTGTGGAGAAGAAGGATCCTCCACAGCTAATCCTCTGAATCAAAAAAAATATTATGTTATCAATAATAACTAAGAAGTTTCTCCTTGTTTTTTCAATAGTAATGCACATTAATATATAGCTATATACCTCTTGATAAGATCAGCTGGTAATGCTTGATCAGTGAAAACCCAATTCTTGTAAACCGCTGAAGAAATTTCAATGGAATTTGGTCCCGGCAAAAATGATTGCTCTATGATTCCACCTGCATTGATTAGAGATTGTCGAGCAAGTCCATTGATGTTTATTGTATCACGGTAGTGAGGATATAAAAGTTTGTTAATCGGGTGAAGCACACTCAGATGTCTATTTGTTGCTATGATGAATGGTTCCATAACTGCATGAGTATTCAACCTGTAACGCAATTATAAATCTTATAAATAATTATGTTATATAGTCTCGTAATTCCAATTAATATGGTAAAAGACGCGTATAACAGCGCTAATAGCCCTATACTAAGCGATAAAAAACGCGTGTCAAATGTAAAGGAGAATGCATACCAATGACTCATAAGTTGATGATAGCTTGAGTCATTTACAACTACATGAGCTTTGGCTAATAACCAAATTGTGCTTTCGACACCTTCTTCAGCAGGCAAGAATACTTTGCTTTCAGCACCATATTGGATCCCATTTGAGTGTGGCAAGCTTAATTCAATAGCTAATGGCTTTAAAGTCCCATCATCTTTCAAGAACAAGATTGTTCTAGTAGCATAAGCCTTTGCACTAATGTTTATTCTCTCCAAATATGGCATGAATGCATCATGGTAATCTAGGAGGAATAATCTCTTTCCATTGAGTGCCTGTTTCAAAATGTAATTCCAATCACATGATTATGATTTCATAGATTTGATTGATTTATAAGGTAGTGAATTTTAACTAAAACATATGTATATCATTACCTCTTCTAGTGTGAGTCCACCAAGGTTGGTTTCTAAGTGTTCTTTTGTTATTGTGCTAGATTGATCACCATAGATGGTGGCATCTAGTGAGCTTTTTGGTGGGAACTCCTGTTATAACAAAGGATAATTAGATTTGAGTAAATATATGAATGTTTGGCAACTCACAATAAAGAATACTTACTTGGAGACCGCGAATCACACAAGGGTTTACACCAGCAACCATCTCTCTTCCGAATTCTTCATCAGTCATCCATGCAGACTTACTTACTACTCATAATAAAAAAGAAGAAATAATTGTCAATTAAAATTAAATCAAAAAATCCATGAATTTTGTAATATTTGAGTTGGAATAAAATGTACCTTTGATTACATGAGGTGGTGGAAACTTGAGTACTTGTTCACCATCGGTACGAAAAATTTCCTTAAGGGCGGGTAAAGGACTAATTTGGCTAATTATGTCGGTAGGAAGTTTAATTCCACCTTCATAAAGTCCACGCACTTCATCAAAGCTATCAAACTCATTTGGTGTAAAATTAAGGTCAAAAATTACAGATTGAAACAAAGGTAACACATCATGAGACAACGATTTTATTCCAAACATAAGGAAGTCTGATGATTTCAAGTGGCCAAAGTTTTCATCTCTTGGAACATAAATTGCACCCGGTTTCTCACTCTTAGGATCTGTGAAGAATCAAATTGCATACATAAATCAAAACACCAAAATCATTAATATGTCATACACGTCAAGCTATGAAAATGTATACTTTTTATGTATAAATCAACTACATCAGTTATTCAATAAATCTAAAAAAATTCATTTTTATTGATAATAGTGATCAGCAGAAATACGTGTGAATAAATTCTAACCATTATATTTCAATGGTCGAAATCAAAATTATAAAATATAAAACAAACCTTTTCTGGTAGGTTTTCTACCGCTCCTAACCCTACGAGGATAAGGATAAGTGCTAGACCCTCCAAGAACCGGACGAGCAAGTTTGTCACCCGCATCTGGATTTCCAAGATCATTATAAACATCATAATCATATATCCTATCATATTCCTTGCGCTCTCCTGTTCCATCTCCTCTTAGATTCTGCAACTCTTCTTCTCTAAATGGCTTTAAAGAAGCTGGTGTTTGACTTGGAAGATACGTCTGCAAATAAAATTTGTATTTTTATTTTTATTTTATTTTCTCATTTACATAGTTAACCCTAAATTTATAGAACTCAAAGCTTACATCATTGGTGAAGAAGATCCTGTCCTTTTTGTAACTTTTGAAATTGTAAATCCATGAGTTACAAACAAACTGAACAGATCCACGGTTTGGAATATCTTCAAGAGTTACACTGACAAGGAAGAACTCAGCTGAAGTGTAGTTTCTTATGTAAAAAGCTCCAGGGATTCCAAAATTAGCATCATATTCAAAAAATATACTGAATGCATCTTGTCTTGCTCCCAAAGTTGGCAACCGAGGAAGATGATTGCTCAAAAACGTTTCCTTTCCAACTAGTCCCTTTCCACTTGCTACAAATTAAAAAATAAATCACAACCAGAAAAGAAATAATATGTAATATATTATTATTGTCAAATTCAAGACAAAAGAAATAATAAAGTACATTACACTAGCCACTTGTTTATATTCAATTCATGAAAAAAAATCACAAGACACCAATTCTATAATCTATCGTGTCAGCATTTGTTTACCTAAAACATTTTATTATTGTTTAATATATGCACTCTTTTATATATATAAGTTGAATATTTAAACCAGAAAACGAACCATCGGTTTTGGTACCACTGATCAACTGCATGGAGACGTTACGGCCTAAGAAGGCGGTGGCGGTGTCAATAGCTCCGCCAACAATGCTGGTGAGGCCACCGACTAAATTTCCGGCAGCGTCGAAGACATCGCCTTTACCGACGGACGTTATAGCGTTGAAGTCCAAAACATTTTTGGGCATCAACACCACAGTCCCCTTGATTTTTTGGCCTTTATCAAATATGCCAAAGACCTTTGTTGCCATATTTGATGGCTCTTGTTTTGATCAAACAAATTAATTAACACTAAATATTTGGTGGATTATAGAGAAAGAAGCTTGGTTTGGTTTGTGAGGAAGCTGGTGTATTTATAGATGGAAGATGTAAGTATGAACACGATGCCATATATTTTTTAATCAGAAGCTGAGCTTCGCATGGCAAACGTGAAATATTAATTAAACATGAATTATAATAAGGATGAGATGGGGATGTATTTTTATAATAATATAAGATTAAACTATAATACTTTGTTTTGAAATATATTGATCAGAGATTAGTCACATGTAAGATTAAATCATGTGTTATCTAAAATCATAATAAATTAATATATAAGCTAGGTTGATTTTTCTTGGGCCAATTTAAGGTAAAATTGAATTTTCTCTTTGTTAGATCATTGTTTGTTAAGCTAGGTTGATTTTTTTTCTTCTATTAGTTTTAGAATCTAGTTTATGGATAATATTATGAAGTTCATTTTTAGTGGTTGTTGCTCTGTTATTTGCATTGTGTGTTTTTAGAAAGATGGTATTGGTTGTTGTTATTGTGTTTGTATTATATGATTTTTAAAAGTTGATAAATACAAATGACATAAAAAAATATTTTAATTAAGAAATGAATGGTTTCATTGTTTTATTATATTATAGTATTAAATAATTTTTTATTTGATAAAAATAAATGTATGAATAAAAACATCAAACATTTTTAATTATATATAAAAAATTGAAGATAGCATCAAATATATTAAATTTATATATATATTTTATAAAAAAATTTAAAAAAAATACGTGAAATAATAATATTGTAATTTTGAATTAATTTATATTAATCTATAATAATAACAATAATAAAAATATAAAAATAATAATAATAATAATAATAATAATAATAATAATAATAATAATAATAATAATAATAATAATAATAATAAAATAATAAGTTTATTTTTAATATTCTACCATAAAACTACAAAGATATTCTGAATTTGTTTTGTCTTGATTGATCATAGTGATTTTTTTTCAAAATTTTATTAATTTGAGAATTATCAATATTAGTTTGAAATTCATTATGTAAATTAAATGTTGCTAAATTCACTAATATATAAGAATTATGCTAATAAAATAAAACAAAAATAATGTGGCATGTCAATGAATTGGGTTACATGTTTGTGAATTTAAAATTTTAAACTCATTATTCGAATTAAATATCAATAGATTTAAATGGATCAGTTTGGATTAGACTCGTACATGATTAGATTAGATAAAAATAAGAGTTGAATTGGGATAGTTGAGTGGATTTGTGGATTGACATGTATTCATGAACACTCCTAGTTACAAGATTTCTTTGTCTTAGATATCAAAATTCTTGATATGTATTAAATTTAAAATTATATCTTGAATAAAGTAATTACTTTATAAAATATTAAATGTGTTGTGATCACAAACGATACCTTTTAACAAATCAAGATTGAGAAACGGAGTTCTTAAGTGAACAATGAAAAACGATTTGAACAAAGAGATAAAAAAGAAAAGGATAAAGAAGAAAGAAGAAGAAGAATTTGAGAAAATTGCTATACTATTCACTTTCTCATTTAGGGTTTACAAATGAATAACACAATTGACACCTCTCAACAAACTGAGTGATCTAGCCTATATATAGACTAACTAGATAACTTGCAACCCAAGCTAACTAAACAATTGAATCCTTAACATAAGGTCCAATTCGACATAATAAGTCAACAATAAATTTCGACATTACATACTAGAACTAGTTTCGACTACAATATGCAATCATTAGACACCAGCATGTGACCCAACTTCGACTTCATACTTGTCTCCTGTCGAAACACATGAAAGATATTCCTAAACAAAGCTTGAGTTCGACCCAAAATCTCACAAATCTCCACCTTGGATCTAACTCAACAAACAGGGAATCAACTAGCTTTCATCATGCAGCTTTATTAACTACATACAGTGAAAAAAACTTGTAACTTGGCAACGTCTTGGTGATCATATCAACAATATTGTCTTCAGTCGAAACCTTCAGCACCTGGACTTCACCATGCTCGATTATCTCTCTGACGAAGTGCAGCTTCACATCGATTTCTTAGTTCTCTCATGATAGGCTGAATTCTTCGACAGGTGTATTGCATTTTGACTATCACATTTAACAGTGATACTTCGACCTTGAAGTTTCAGCTCCTTTGCAAAACCTTCAAGCCGCAATGCTTCTTTCATAGCTTTAGTGAGGGAAATATATTCTACTTCAGTGGTTGATAAGGAAACAACCTTCTGAAGCATTGCTTTCCAACTAATTGTTGTGTCGAACATAGTGAACACATATCCAGAAATAGAATTTCTGGAATCCATATAACTTGCGTAATCAGAGTCGAAAAATTCTTTGATTTCGACTATGTTATCACCATCACAGGCTCCACCATAAATCAGGACTCAACACAGAGACCCATTTATGTTCCTGAGAATCCACTTTAAAGCATGCCAGTACTCCTTTCCAGGATTGGCCATATACCTGCTCACAAGGCTCACTCCATACGTTATGTCTGGCCTCGTACAAACCATAGCATATATCAAAGAACCCACTATACTAGCATATGGAATGTTATTCATATAGATTCTTTCAGCTTTAGTACTCGGACTTTGAGTAGTACTAAGCTTATACTGAGGATTTCTCGGAGTCACACCAGACTTTAAATTCGACATACCAAACTTGTCGAGAAGCTTCCGTAGGTATGACTCTTGAGATAAGCATAACTTTGACTATTTTCTATCTCTCCGGATGTCAATCCTAAGAATCTTTGTGGCAACTCCCAGATCCTTCATTTCGAACTCCTTCTTCAGTTTAGCCTTCACCTCCATTAATCCTCAACATTGTTGCTAGCTATGAGGATATCATCAACATATAGCAACAAAATAACAAGTGAATTTCCAGGTCGAAATCTGAAGTAAACACAGTGATCGAACTGGCTCCTAGTGAAACCAATGTGTGCCATGAACTTGTCGAATCTCTTGTTCCACTGTCGAGGAGATTATTTCAAGCAATACAAATACATATTCATCTTGCAAACATTATCTTCCTTATCCTTTTCTGTATACCCTTCAAGTTGACGCATCAGGATCGTTTTGTCTAGGTCACCATAAAGAAATGTTGTCTTCATATCCATTTGCTCAAGTTCCAAGTCGAACTTCGCCACCATGGCCAACAAAATTCTAATGGATATATACTTTACAACAGGTGAGAACACATCATTGAAGTCGACACCTTATTTCTGAGTGAACCCCCTAGCAACCAACCTTTCCTTAAAGCGTTTCAACATCACTCCTTCGATTCCTTCCTTGACCTTGAAAATCCACTTACAACTGACTAACCTTGCTCCTGCAGGTTTCTCAATTAGCTCCCAAGTGTTATTATCATGAAGAGATCTCATCTCGTCATCCATGGCTTTTCGCCATTCAATCTTGTTTCGACTCCTCATAGCTTTCTTGTAGTCTCTAGGTTCTTCGTCAAGTATCTCAATTGCAGAGATTAAGGCAAAAGATATAAGATCTGCATAACCAAGTCCCTGAGGTGGCTTAATGACTCTTTTCGACCTATCTCTTGTCAGTAGATAGTCATCGACATTTTCCTTAGCCTCTTCAACATCTTGCTCTTCTTACTCAACTTCATTTGGGTTATACACTTCAGCATCCTTATGTTCCACCTCAACAGGCATCTCTACCTGTTCCAGCTCCTCTTCAGAGATTTCTGCACTTCGACGAGTATCACCAATTTTCTTGAACGCTATTTCGACTTCATTAATAACTACATCACGACTTGTGATACATCTTCTATGACCTGGCTCTAAGCACCACATCCTATAACGTTTGACTTTCTCAGGATATCCAAGGAACATGCATCTTAGAGCTCTAGGTTCGACCTTGACTTGTATAATGTGAGCATAGGCTAAACATCCAAATACTCTCAATTTGTCGAGATCTGGTGGTTGACCTGATCAAACTTCTTCAGGTGTCTTCATTCCCAAGGCAGACGAGGGACATCTATTTATCAAATAAGTTGTTGTCGAAACAGCCTCCGCCTAAAACAAATTCTTCAATCCAGCACTAACCAACATGCATCTTACCCTTTCAAGGATTGATCGATTGAATCTCTCAGCTAAGCCATTTTTTTAGGAGTACCTGTTACAGTCGTATGCCTTGAAATCCCATACTCAACATAGAAACTGTCGAAGGCTTTGTTGCAGAACTCAAGGTCATTGTCGGTTCTCAACCTCTTAAACTTTCTGCCAATTTGAGTTTTGACTTAAACCTTTCAACTTTTGAAATTTTCAAAAGTTTCATCCTTCGTCTTCTGAATGAATATCCATAGTTTACTGCAATAGTCATCAACGATGGATAGAAAATACTTTGCACCCGAGTGTGAAGGATTCCTTGCAAGCCCCCAAAGATCAACGTGAATATAATCCAAGGATCCATGTGTTCTTTGCTTGACTTTGTTAAATTTCGCTCTACAGGATTTACCAAATACATAAGATTCACAAAACTACAACTTTTTGACTTTGTCACCACCTAGCAGGTTTTGTTTCCCCGATTTGGCCAAGCCTCTTTCGTTGACATGGCTCAATCTCATGTGCCATAACTCTGTCTTCGACACAGGTTTTATGGATGCAAAATCTTCCGAACCACTTACAACCTCAGCCTCAAGGGTATACAAGTCTTGTTTCTTCACGCCTCTCAAGACTTTCTTCGAACCCTTCAAGACTTTCAAGATACCTTGCTCTCCTTTGAAGAGATATCATTTCTTTTCGAATTCACCAAGATAAATTAAATTCCCCTTAAGGTCAGGTACATACCTAACCCCAATCAATAGCCTTATTGACTCATCCTGGAGCTTGAATCTTACAGATCAAATACCTACAATCTTGCTAGGTTTATTGTTTCCCAACAGTATTAATCCTCCATCTTGATCACATAATTCT